TTCAGGGACAACCCCTCCCCCCTCTGCGAGATCTGCGTTCCCCCTCCCCTCCATAGCTAGCAATCCAAAACAGTCCAGTGGAGCCTGAGCAGCGGGTGTTGCCTTCTGACACACTTCCGGTGATGTCAGGGGGTGTGGCATATGCAAATGAGTTATGCTAATGAGCTCCTGCACCTCTTTTTCTACGGAATGACCCCTGGTCAGTACATAACACTACTTTTCATACTTTTCATACAGGATGACTCACATGAGAACAGAGAGACTATCGCCACCAGCCATCAGTCATAACCAATGATACATCTATGCCACTACTGCCTACTCTAAAATGCGCTTGGCTGTCCGGGAAGCTGGGAAGAGGGAAATGAGAACAACATCATAATGCCCCTATATAAATCAATGGTGAGACCTCATTTGGAATACTGTGTGCAGTTCTGGTCACCACACCTTAAAAAGGATATTATAGCTTTGGAAAAAGTGCAGAAAAGGGCAACTCAAATGATAAAAGGGTTGGAACACTTTCCCTATGAGGAAAGGTTAAAGCGCTTAGGGCTCTTTAGCTTGGAGAAACGACGACTGAGGGGTGACATGATTGAGGTTTATAAGATTATGCATGGGAAAGAGCAGGTAAAGAAAGAGGTACTTTTCTCCCTTTCTCACAATACAAGAACCCGTGGGCACTCCATGAAATTGCTGAGCGGTCGGGTTAGAACGGATAAAAGGAAGTACTTATTCACCCAAAGAGTGATTAACACATGGAATTCACTGCCACAGGAAGTGGTGGGTGCTACAAGCATGGACAGCTTCAAAAGGGAATTAGATAAGCATATGCGGTGTGCTAGCAACAGAAAGTAAACACCTACACAAGAGGCAACAGGAGGGGAGATGAACCAAGAACAATATAGCATGCAGAATAAAACATACAACATAATGGCAGCTTGCTGACATCGGGTTAGAACGGATAAAAGGAAGTACTTCTTCACCCAAAGAGTGATTAACACGTGGAATTCACTACCACAGGAAGTGGTGGCGGCTACAAGCATGGACGGCTTCAAAAGGGAATTAGATAGGTTATGGAGCAGAGGTCCATCAGTGGCTATTAGCCACAAGGTATAGATAGGGGCTCTGGGGCAAGTGATGCTCTGTATTCTTGGTGCTTGGAGGGGCAACAGTGGGGGGGCTTCTAGTGTCCTGGCCCCACTGCTGGACCTCCTGATGGCACCTGGTATTTCTGGCCACTGTGTGACACAGAGTGTTGGACTAGATGGGCCTTTGGCCTGATCCAACATTGGCTTCTCTTATGTTCTATAGGAACTCTCAGTCTGGGGCAGGTGATGCTCTTGTATTCTTGGTGCTTGGGGGGGGGGGCAAAAGTGGGAGGGCTTCTAATGTCCTGGCCCCACTGGTGGACCTCCTGATGGCCCCTGGTGTTTTTGTCCCCTGTGTGACACAGAGTGTAGGACTGGATGGGCCTTTGGCCTGATCCAACATTGGCGTCTCTTATGTTCTTATGTTCTCTTATGCGCTACAGACAAGAGCCACCCATTTCAACCACCTGGAAATGTGACCTTTGGATCCCCAGGGAAGGGACCTGGGCCCTTGAGAAGAACGCTGTAAGGAACACCCATTAGCAGAACTGGAGGAAGTAGGACTGTGAACTCCCAGTTGGGAAATTCCCAGAGATAAGGGGGTGGAGCCTCAGGAAGGCAGGGCTTGAGGAAGCAGTGGGATGACTGAGGGATATAATGATTTAGAGCAGAGGTGTCAAACTCATTTATTACGAGCTGTGCGCCATAAAATGTAATGCCAGGCACTGGAGCTATAAACCTTATACAAGACACAGGCAAACCCAGTTAACAATCTTATTTTTTCCTCAAAATATAAACAAAAGCACTTGATTCCTAGCAGCGAAAGCAAGTGTTTTACTGGGGAACCCACAAAAGCCCCAGTAAATGTATTTAATCCAGATGCAAGGCTAGGTTTTTTCCAAGGGATACCATAAAAAGGGGGAGTACTGTACATTTCCATACATAAAAGTAGCACCCGAGCTGGGTAAGAGCCCTGGATGGGCCGGTTCCGGCCCCCAAGGACTTATGTTTGACACCCCTGATTTAGAGCCCACCCTCCAAAGTAGCCATTTTCTCCAGGGGAACTGATCTCTGTCATATGGACATCTGTTATGATCCCAGAAGATTTTCCAGCCTCCACCTGGAGATTGGCAATCCACACAGGAAGGCACCCTCCTCCAGGAAGACAAATCGGGAGGGTGTTTTACTGGGGCAGACACCGGGAAGGAAGGAAGGAAGGAAGGAAGGAAGGAAGGAAGGAAGGAAGGAAGGAAGGGAGGGATAAGGAAGGAAGGAAGGAAGGAAGGAAGGAAGGAAGGAGGGAGGGAGGGAGGGAGACCCTGCCTAGTAAATAGGAACAGACACTGCTGCTTAACTTAGCACCGGCTCCATATGGTCTACTACTCTGAGGCGGAATCTGCATTTGTCTTTCCCACCAGTGTCCCAGCCTTTTGATTCCGTCTTCAAAAAAGCTGTCTACATTTGGTGTCGTTTTCACACCTCAACAGTGCTAGCATACTTTTGCACGTCCACGTATGTTTATCGTCCTTTGGGGCAGCTCCACTGTCATTGCACCTACACACGGCTTTAAAAGAATCTTCTCCAAGCAACATTCAAACAAGCATAGAGAAAGACGGCGTCACAGCAGCACAAAAATGATTTAAAATGTCTTGCAAAGGAGCAGATGCTCCGTTCTCGCCAGGCGTGTAGGGTGTGGGGCCGCTGCGAATCCTAACTCGGTCACATAAAGCCGCCTGCAACCTCAGCCGAACGCAGCGATGACTCAGCCTCTAGAGTGAAATATTTATTTTGCCAAGGAGGGAACGTGCTTGGAAATTCGAAACATTCTTCATGGAGGCCCCTGCCCTGCCCATCTGGTATGTTTCGTAAAGTGCAATATCTAGTGTGCATTTTAATAAAGCAACAAAAGAGCTCTCTCTTTTCTTTTCTTTTTTGAGCCCCCGGAGGGGATTTTTTATTATTTTTATAAGACTACAAAAACGACTACAGAAAAAAGGGAAGGGGGACTACATATATAGGATAAAGCAAAGAACCCACTACTAACTAAAAACCCAAGAGAGGAGATCCTCACTAGCTTAGTTACAACAAATCTTCATTTCGTTTAGATTATTATAAACTGAGTCAAACATTTATAATACTTTTCCTTTAACTCTTAAATTTAACTGTCTAGGAACTAGAGAGCTCTCCTTACCTCCGGGGATCTGGCGGTATTCTGGAACACGGCATAGCCAATAATCGAGCTGGACCCCATGATGCTGTGGAAACAAAGGGTGGAAAGGGTGAACCCGAGAACCGTCCGCCTGGCTCCTGTGCCTTCCATACTTCAATGGCAGGCTGAAGCTTCTCCCTGCTGTTTGCTGGGAAATCCTGCTGGTCACACTGCTGTTAAACGGCACAGGAGCACTGTGCCAGAAAGAAGTTGGCAACTCTAGTTCAGCTCTGGGCTTTTGTGCTTTCAGACCAATCCTCACTGCGCCTAGCTTCCTGCGTTCTGGCCAAAGGGACTCGATAACTGGGATGTGGGAGAGGCGCCCGTTGTTTTATAAAAGCCTGCCCCTCTGCTTTCAACAGCACACAAGGAGCGACTGTCGTGGCTAGATTGTTTGACTCGGATCTGCGAGACTCGAGTTCTAATCCCCACTATGCTCGACGGGGGACCTTGGTCCAGTCACTCTCTCTCAGCCTAACCTACCTCACAGGGCTGTTGTGAGAATAAAGTGGGTGGGGAACGAGAGCCATGTAAGCCAGGCAGAAGGGGAAGATAAAACTGGGCCATTTAGAGAGTTTGATCCACAGGCATCAGCAGGTGATATCTGCCCATTGCATTACTGATAGAAGAATGGGTAAATTGGATTGCCTAATACGGGCACTGATTTAAACTTAAACTGCTGAACTTGATGATGAAGCTCAAGATAATCCATCCACCTGGACTGAGTCAAGACCTAGGTTTCCTGTCTCATTACCAATGCTGATTTCTCCACGCCTATTACCCCTCAGCATATCTCACCTAATCCAATTACACCTGCTATTGTTATTCACCTGCTATTGTCATTTGCCTGACATCACTCCACTTTCCAATAAATAGGACAGATGGACTCCTGAAACGGCCAGCGAGGCTAAACTCAGGCGGCTCTTCTGGGGAGACCCTTCCACACACCCCAGGAACAAGAAAAACTGTCAAGTACCTTAAAGCAGCCGTGACAGCTTGAATCCAGTGGAGGATTGCAAAGAACTGTAAAGAGAAGCGACATCATTAAACATGCCTGCCGGTTCCCATCTCTCTTTGAGCGGCGCATTGTGTGTGGCATCAGGAGAAGTTATCACCCACAAAACAGGGCACAAGGGTAATGACCAGGGGTGATTTCATAGAAAGAGAGGTGTAGGAGTTCATTAGCATAATGAACAGCTGAGCTCTGAGCAGGAGCAGGAGAGAGAGCTGTGAGAGAGGTGAGTGGGTTTCTTTTACTTGCTTTCAGCTGAGAGAATTCAGCTAAGGATATTTTGTGGGGAAACTGTGTTTAGCAGTGTGTGGAAGCACTTAGAGTTCTTGCAGAGTCCTGGCTGATTGAGTGTGGGAGAGGAACGGGCACTGTTTGACTGGGATTGCCTGCAATTGAGAGGAAGTGGAAGGGGCATTGTTTTGCCTGTGATTGAGTGCCTGGGTGAATTTGAATTTGAATAGCTGCTGCCTGACCTCTGCTGGGGGAGGCCTCTATTTAAGGAAACACCTTGGCAGAGGCACGAGCTAAAGGGCTCTTTGCCTGTGGCTCTTAGCCTAGGGACTCTTGGACTAGGGGCTCTGTAAGAAGCCCAAAAAGAGCCAGAAAGACAAGGCCCTAGGCTCTTTGTCTTTCCCATAAAATAATTTGACTTTGATAACAAAAACCACATAAATACCAAGGGTTTAAAAGGGGGATTATATTTATTTATTTTAAAAGAATTATGAAGCCAGAATGCCAGCAGGGGGTTGGGGGCTATCCAGTGTTTTGCACGGAGTGTCACATGTATGACTATCTG